CAGATCCGGTACGAAAGCTGCAAGTCTAGTGAACTCTCGCTCGTACTCATCAACTGTACGAGTGCCCTGCTGAAGCGCTAAAAACTGACGCTCCATCTCTGCCCGATAGTAGGAAGGGTAGTACTTTTCACGGACTAGCTCCTTGAGCATGTCCCATGTACATCCCGCTTTTTCACCGGGACGCATGCTCCAGTAGGCATTCCACCAAAGCCTAGCATCACCAGTGAGCTGAAGCTAAGCGCAAACTACGCGATATCTATCGGGGCAGTCCATGACCTCAAAGATAAACTCCAACCCCTGAATCCATTCATCTACGATGCGGGGATCTCTTTGCCCTGAGAACTTTTTAGCGTGATAGTCGCGGAACTGGACGACTACAGTAGCCTAAGTAGGAGCCGGATGATCGGGTTCCCTACGTGGCGGCATCTGAACATTGAGAAAGTTTAACATTACTGAATACGTGATAACATTCTGGCTGATTACTAAGGCACACAAATCTCTTGAGGAGTTGCCAAAAATGGCTGATAATTACTGACGTGAATCCTGAAGAACTCTAGAGTTATCTCGGAAGATACTAAAGTCTAGAGTCATATCTGAATGCCCTGACGTCTAAAGTCCGATCCTGATTCGAGCATCTTAACTAAAGTCCTGATCCTTAATTCTGAGCATTGACAAAGTAATATGTTTATAACTGAAAAACTGAATCAGCACTTACCTGTCATCGGTGGGGCGTGAGCATGACGGTTCAGGTTTTTCTAAAAAATTACTGACTGAAAAACTTTTCAGAGACGCAGAAACGTGCTCTGATACCAATTGTAACACCCCGCCTTATCGTAAAATCAGAGTGCGAAAATTTCGCAAAGTTATTTAAAAATAAATCTTTTACTTTGCGAAAACTGATTCGAGGTGCTACCTTAAAAACATGACTTAATTTGGAAAACCGTTATTTTAATTTTTTATAAAATCAAACTGATACTGAAAACATAAAGTTTTCCAAAAGTTCGGTCAAAACATAAGTTCGTCAAAAGTTATTATCAGCGGAAATGTAAATCGTCAATATACATCTACAGTCAAAAACATAAATGTCCTGAAGCCTTCGTCATCTCACGCTCCCTGCCCGACATCCTGACCTGAAAAACATGATAAAAGTGGGAAATGAGCACTAAGGCACTGTGATCCGTGAAAACTCATACTAATGTAAACATTGAAAATAATAACAACATCATGATATCGGCATATACATAACCTCAACATGAAACCGGTAATAACATGAACATGAATCTGATATCGTCACGCAACGTGACCCTGACTGTTACCTCATCTGCTGGCAAAAACTAATACCGAACACCATGTGCACACTCTAGTGGGCAGACTAGGGCCACTAGAACCCAGAATGGACCGGCGACCATTCCGAGCGGATACCTCACATGAAATACATGGCTCAAACATGGTACCGTAATTATAATCAATGTAGTACGTAGTCTGAGTCCCCACCTGAACTGCTGAAACTGAACGGTAGTGCTGATGCCTGATCAAACTGAAAATAATATAAACAATTACTAATGACTATGCTCAGACTGTTAACTTAACTGATTAATTTCGTTAAGATGCTCTACTGAACCTGACATGATATATAGACTTAACCGGAATAACCAGAACTGAACTGACATGAACTGATTGGACATGAACTTACTGAACTGAATAATCCTGGAAATTTAACTGAAAATATCATTAAAATCATGAACCGGGCTGAAACCTTAACATAAGAACCGAACTGATTTAAAAATGGGTTGAACCGGTCCAGCCGGTCTGAACCGGTTTGGGCCGGACTGTGGGTTGACTGTACCGGCAGTCGGCTCGGCTCAATGCTGCGCGCAGCGCGCACGGGCGCTGCTGGCTTGCTGCGGGTACTGGACAGCCGTCCCAGACGCGACTGGGCGTGCTGGGCATGTGCGGCGTCCCACTGGGGCTAACTGGTGGACTGCCCGCAGCACTGCGCACAGTCACGCGTGCTGGCGCGCGCTGGCGCATTGCTGCGGTGCCGCTGGGCGTTACCGAGTCGCAGGCGTGCACTAGTCGACGCTGCGTGCGACCACTGAACGCGTACTGGACTGCTTGACGTTCGGCGTGCACACTACTGACTGCTGGCTACTACCGCGAGTGGCTAAGTGCCGCGGCTCGCGGGCAGGCGCATGCACTGGCAGTCGGTGTTGCCTGTCTGCCAACACGTTGTTGTCGCTACGTGCGACAACGCGTCCATAACCGGCTTTCACCAGCCATCCGGTGAATACCTTCGGCAACCATGACATCAAACAACATGACATGACTTAATATGAACATGGTTATGGAAATAACTTGAAATTAGCACTTTTTGCACGATCAACTGAAAGGGGCCGTGGCGAGCGCGCCGTGCGCCGCCGACGGCAATACGCCGTCTCCCGACCGACTCAGCTTATTCCTTGGAAACCCAAAACCAATACAACATGAAACATCATTATGAGACTATTCAGGCATAAATCACACGAAAGAACGTGACCATAACCGAAAGTAACAAGACATGGCTTGGTGTCGCCCGTGGCCACGCGCGATAAGCGCTAGCGACGGTTTGAGCCATTTAACCGATAAAACATCATTTTTCCTCGACCAACCTCAAGTAACTGAGTTTAACATGACGTTAACTGAATAATTAAACATAAATGGTTCGTGAGTTGCCGGGTAAAACGAGAAGTTACTCGATCCCTACTTGGCTTAAACGTATTCGAACTTAACACGGCAATACTAGGCATTCTTTGAACATGACTTGAACTTTTCAACTTAAGATGAGCTTAATGACATGAAAATATATTTAGGGTAGCTATACCTCTTAAGGTACTCGTCGGAATCGCAACCGGACTATGCCTTGCGTGCGTGTCCTCGTGTGCGGAAGTTGCCGTGCGATGTTCCGTCAATTGCCGTGCGATGAGTATGGAAAATTTATGATAATATGCTAAGTTATTTGGTGTTGAATTTAGGGACTAAGGCTGCTGATATACGGCTGCATATATGAGGTAAAGATGGGGAAATTTTTTTTCCAAATCTTATGCTATTTATAAAGAAGGCAAGAGAGGTGTGATGATGCATATGGGACGTGGCTTTCTTGGCTTTAGACATTTGTTCTCCATCTACATAAGCTTAGGATGACTAATTTCCCCACTAAGTTTCTTAGTATGATACGTGTGATATTAAAAAGAGAAAGAAAGCATTTGATTTCTTTACTTAAAGAAAGCATTTGATAATTAGCACGACCTTGATGCTCATTAGGGATTAATTGCTAATTATTCCCTTTTTTATGTTTAAGTATTTAATTAAACATAATGCTTAATTACCAAAATTATTCCGAACGTAAACGGTACGTCGAAAATAAATTTCGGTAATCTTGACTGAAAATAATGAATTCTGAAAGTAATAAACGTTAACATTATTATATCGGAATTTAAAACATAATTTATACTGATAAAATATCGGGATATTACAACTTGGTCCCCACCTTTTATTCTTTAAAACTTTTGAATACTATAAGTGTTGTACTGGTAACTGTATCTGCAAGCTACATAAAAATATAAACAAATATACTAAGTATTATGCTCATATTTTTAATAAAAAATCTAGGATGCTCGACTCTATCAGATAACTTATCCAGATATAAATGAATACTCTAGAGATTTTCTAAAAATCATACTAAGTCCGGAATTAAACTGGAATACTTAAAATTAACTGTTGGGACTTAAAAAAAAATACTAAGAAATATCTCGGAATTAACTAAAAGATATTCAAGATTTATTATGCCTTCTCTTGAATAGACGAAAAACTGAAAGAATCGAGATAAATGAAGTCTCGAACGTTCGAACTCGTCCTCGACAAATTCGCTTCTTTTTCTTTACTATTCATTACAGGAATTCGAGCTCCCCTAATTAAATGCTTGAAATACGCGAAGTTGGTCTGCATGGCATCGTGCTTGAATTCTCTACATGTCCAAACTCGATTCTCGATAAACCGAAGTCACACGCGACCTTGCGGGGCCCGTAAAATGACTTTTTCATTTAATTTACTAATATTTTCTCTCGACTTCGGACTACTCAAATTAATTGATCGAGACATCGAAATAATAAATTGATGTCACCAACGACTTCTTCTCTTCTCGTACTTTCACAAAAGAATTTTTTGGTAATGTTCGACTCGGTTTTTTTCGTGTCCCATTGGCACACCGGAAGTCGGGAAATGAAATTAAGCTCTTATAGTGAAAAATGGAGAAAATAAATTCTGCTGCTACATATCTTCCCGTTGGAAAACTGTCGACAGAATTATGCTCAACAAAAAATTCGCTCGAGCAAGAGAAGTGAACCTCGAGCTCAACAAAAAATTCGCTCGAGCAACAAAAAATTCAAGAAGTGAACCCTAAAATGGCAGAGCCTCGAGGACGAAGGCTAATGTTAAGCTCGCTGGATAAACGTTTTGTTGCTGACGACTAAAGCTGGTGCTTGAACAGTGGTTGAACCTCGACGTAGATGCTTCTCGCTGAACAAATAGTCGAGTATGTTCTTCTTCTCCGTCGAAGGTTGAAGACGATCGACTCGTTGATGAAGTCTGGGATTGGAAGCTATTTCTTATGGTGGCGACTCACCGGAAATAATGACTGTCGGTTATTTTGAGGAAGAAAAGTGATGGTCTCTCTCTCTCTCAACTTATATCATTTTTACTAAAAATATGCTGAGATTTTCTCGAGTTTGAATTGTTCTAATATGGAGAGATGAGAATTGAATTTATCTCATAATAATATTCAACTGATTAGGAATGGGTTGATGAACCTCTTTACGCGCATGAACTGTTTTCTTGCTAACTTGGAGCTGTATGAGATCATGGTTCTCGACAATGAGTTGTAGTTGTTTTTTTTTTCAAACGATAGAGAATATATATAACTGCATGTACAGGAATACAACCCGAGGACCAACTGGCCCTAAAAAAAGAGATACATCCAACCTAAGATGATCTAGAACCAGTACTGACAACAAAAACACAACTGAGAAGCCTAATATACATTCTAAGGCCAGAAAACAAATTGTAACCCTTAGAACTACATTAGAACTCCAAGACTACAACCCAAACTCAAAACACCATAAAACAAGAAAAATACAAAAAAAGACACAAAGATAGATATAAGCCATAACAGCAACAGAAGAAGCGCCCACTGGACTCAACGAACCTAGACCCACTTCTTCAACAAAGCTATAGCCTGTTGGAGACTCTATCTTTTACATCCTTCTTGCTAAATTCTTGCCAATCAGCTAGAGCATTTTTAACTATGAACAGAGGAGGAATCCACTCTTTCTTGAATAGCCACAAATTCTGGCTTTTCTAGAGCCACCACAAAATATAAATGGTTAGCTCAATTCTAGCTTCACAGACCTCCACCTTTTTGACAGAGCAGACATCATGCCACCAATGTCTGAACTTGGTTGAACAGCTAACAGCAATATCCCAGTGAACTGGAGAAGCTTTCCAGACCTCTTTTGCTTTCTTGCAATGGAAAAAAATGTGTTCAATAGTTTCAAAGCTTTCCCCACAAGATTGACAAATGCCATCCACAAAGAGTCCTCTCTTTCTCAGCAAGTCTTTAACAGGAAGGGCTTCTGAAAAACACCTCCAAAGGAAATGCTTAAGCTTGTGTTTAACTTTGAGCTTCTATGTTCTTGATCTAATCAATCTCATTGCCTGAGCTGATTGACAACTTTCTGCAACATCCAGCTTCTTGAATTTTTCAGAGACAATTTTAGAATAAGCTTTGGCAACAGAAAAGTTACCTTTGGCATCATTGTTCCAGATCCACCTATCTTTCACATGAGGGTTAAGGCACTTGATTTTAAGAATTTTGACACAGTCTGCTTCATTAAATAGAGCTTTGAGGAGGGGGATATTCCAGTGTCTGCCTTCATTTTCCATGAGCTCCCAGACCCACTTCAAGTCAGCAAACTGGGGATTAGTGCTCTGCAAATTGGTGAGAAGAACAGAACAAGTCCCAGGATCATTCCAAATCTGAGTAGTAAGGCCATCTCTAATTTGGATTTGAAAGTGTTGCTTGTATCTATCTCTCACTGACATCCAAGTAGTCCACAGCCATGAGACATTTTGCTTGACTTTAGCTTGAAAAATGCAGCCATTGGAGAAATATTTGCTCTTAAGTAGCTTGCTGACAAGGAGATTAGGATGAGATACAATCCTCCAGAGCTGCTTTAGGATCAAGGCATCATTAAATAACTGCAGGTCATGAAATCCCAGACCTCCCATCATTTTGGGCAAAGTGACAGAGGACCACTTCTTCCAGTGAATACCAGAAGCATTGTCACCACCACTCTTCCACCAGAATTTAGCACAAATAACAGCAATGTTCTTGCAAACAGATTTAGAAATAGTAAAGCATGACATGGAGAATATAGGAAGGGCTGATAGAACTGATTTAATTAGAACTTCTTTGCCAGCTTGAGATGGAAAATTATTTTTCCAATTAGCAACTTTCTTCCTCACAGATTCAATAATGTAATCAAAAGTTTGCTTCTTTGACTTCCCAATCCCTAAAGGAAGTCCAAGGTACTTAGAAGACCTGTGAACTTGAATCCCTTGTAGCATAAGGCAAATGTCACTTTGAAGGCTTGGAGAGACATTCTTGCTAAGGAAGATTGAGGATTTCATCATATTCACTTGCTGGCCAACACACACCTTGTAGCATTCAAGAATTCTAAAGATAGCAGCAATGGAATTCACATCAGCATTATAGAATAGTAAGGAATCGTCTACAAACAATAAGTGAGATAGTTGCAGTCCTTTTCTAGCAATTTTAATACCTTTCAAAGCCCCACTGATAATCTCTCTTTTAATAAGCTGAGAGAACAATTCTGAAGCAAGGATGATTAGATAAGGGGATAAAGGGTCCCCTTGTCTGATTCCCCTAGAAGCATCAAAGTAGCCACATATATTTCCATTGATGTTGAGAGAAAAAGAAGTTGAAGAGACACACATCATGATCCAATTCACAAAAATTTTATGAAACCCAAATTGTAGCAGAATTTTCTTCAGACATTTCCATTCAAGCCTATCATAGGCTTTCATCATATCAAGTTTGAGAGCAAGATAACCTTGTTTGCCTATTATGTGCCTATTTAAAAAATGAATGATCTCCTGGGCCATAATCACATTATCTAAAAGCTGGCGGCCAGGGATGTAAGCAGCCTGATTCTCACTTACACACAATTGCAAATAAGGCTGGATTCTGGAAGAAATGATTTTGGCAATGATTTTATAAGCAACCTCACAAAGGCTAATTGGTCTGTAATCACCAAGGGCAGAGGGATTTAAACATTTAGGAATCAGATTTGAATCAGAGTTGTAGTTGTTGAACAATAATAATTTGTCGAGCATCTAATGAGGTAAGCATTTTAGCTTTCAACTCTTGCCTCTTAATTATTCTAGCCACATGGTTACTTAATAATGACTTCATACGTGCATGAGGTGGAATGTGTTGTCTTGAGACATGCTTCTCAACTATGTATTGTAGTAGCTGAACAAATATACTTGGTCTGGCATCCCTTTGAATAGATTAACATGCTTTAGTCAACTTTAGTTACAACAAGACAACATCTTTCTCATCGCATGACCAATCTTGGCTTAAAATACTCCCAACTCATATGTCTATACTCGCATGCCTATGAACATAAATGAACCATTGCTCTGAAATGTGACTGGTGAATAAATTTTCTAAGGCTCGACTATAAATTCTTTAAGGCTCGACTCATCACCGAACATGCTTGGTTCGGTTCATAACTTATGTTAAACTCTTAATCAAAATATACTCGATTTCGATTATTCTTCATCTTATAATAATTAATCCCGACTTATAAATCCATTTATAAAAAAAAACTGACCGAAATTAATTAATAACTTGAACTGTCTTGATTATTAGATAGAATTTAATCGAGAATACTTTCGACATAAAGTCAAACTTACAATTGAATATCTTACTAGATAAGCTCGGAACTAGGAACGAGCATTATTAACAAAAGTAATTTAGTTCAAACTTGGAACTAAAATAATTACTTTTATTAAATACTGAATGGGATATTACAATTGTAACACCCCGCTTTAATTTACAAAATATCTTTTAAAAATTAGAGTTAAAAAATTGTTTTATTTTTGAAAGAACTGCCTTTTTCAAAAATACTTATCTTTATATCGGGATGATACCATGTCCGAAAACTGCTTTATTATACCATAAGTATAAAAAAATCTTGCATGTCATCTTTATAGTAAATATCTTAGTTACTACACATGCATAAATTCATAATTATCTTTTTTGAAAAAACACAGCGGAATTAAAATATTGTTTTAACAACATGTTCAAGTTCTATACATAAGACTTTGTTCTTGAACTTATTCTGCAAATTGTGACAGAACCACGATCAACCAACCACCATTCCTCACGCTCCACGCCGCTTAGCATGACCTGGGGAAAGATTGGCTGTGGGGGAGTTAGCAAAAATATATAACCACGGTGCTACCCATAAACCAACACTGAATAAACAACACATCTTATAACATATTGGTATGTATATAAGAATTGAAACTGATCATAGCTTCCGGACTCTGTGGTCGATACTCTTTACTCCTGGACTCTGTGGTAGGTATTCCTAACTCCCGGACTCTGTGGCCGATAATCGTATGCATACAATGATTTAAGCCATCTGACTTAATCAGAACTTGGATGGGATATTAAGGACTCTGTGGCCTCCACTCAAGAGATAATTGGGACCTCACCTTTGTAGGTCATCGCACTGTGACAAAACTCATACATACATACCTCAGTACTTATTTGGTCCCCACCCATTACTCTTGAATCTTTGTAAGTGCTTTTTATCTGATAGTTGTCAGAGACTGGCCTCCTTTCAAGCTACATAAAATTCAAGCAACTATATTGAATCTCTACTTAAACATACTCTTATTGTACCATAAATCTTGTACCAAAATACTTAACTCTTTCTCAACTTCTTTTTATTTGCTAAAAACATCTTATTTTATATCATACTCTTTGGTATAAAAATTTTAGCAAATACTAGCATATGTTGCCAAATTGCTCGGTTTCTAATTTTCTCTTTAAAAACGAATATCTCATTACCATAGCAATTGACCTCCAAAAATCCTAAAATTTTAACTTCATGATCAACTTATTATTTTTGGGTATTTGGAATCTTAAACTTCATCCTATCATGCTTATAACTCAACTTTCAAAAATATAGCTTAATTGGACTTAAATTTCCAAACTAACTTATTTTCCGAGCTCTTTCCAATATTCATGCTTTAATCATCTTAACATATCATGATTAAGCTAGGAAAAATATTGAAATACTCATTACCTCTTTCCTGCTCTAACAATAAAAATCAAAAGTTTCTCCTTGACTTCCTTGGCAAAACATTCGGTTTTGGTAAATTTTTGAATTGATTTCTAATCTAATTTTTTTCACTCTTTGAATAATATTTTTTTTCTTAACTTTTGAGACTATTTATCTCAACTTATGGAGTGTTTATAAAGTCACAAAATCTGATGGAAAGTAGTGTAACCAATGACCATATTTATACTATGAAGAGAGGAAATAAAAAAATACTTTATTTACTTAGTAGGGTGTATTCGTTTCAGAATTCGAGTGACATTTAAAGACTTTTTAAGATTTAAGATTTTTGAGGATTTTCAGATTTTAAAAGAATCCTATAAAATACCAAGTGTGGGATTTGTATGGGATTTCCTACATGTTTTTTTCTTTAGAAATCCCAGCAAATCTTAAAAAGTCCTTATAAATCCTAACCTTAAATTAGTTAAATACACCTGGATTTCGTAAAACTTTTTAAAATCCTAATTGAATACCTCAAGACTTTTAAAAGTCTTGAGAAATCTAAATTAAATACACCAGGATTTCTAAAGTCCTAAAAAGTTTTTAAAAGTCTTTATAAATCCCAATTAAATACACCCCCTTAATGTTAGATGTAACTAACGTTTACTGTGGTGCATAATTGAGCTGAAACACGAGCTTCTATAATTGATCACCCACTCCAAGCTTAAAATTACTGGATTTTAACAATTAAAAGTGTAACCATAAATTAATCAAAAGATGTTATATGATTTCTAAATAATTTTGTTCGGCTTTTGAGCTTATGGACGGAAATTATTGAGCTTCTTGACTTTTGAAAAATAATGCTAATTAAAATAACATGTCATGTGAGTTGAGTTTGATAGCATCTTTGAATAAAGAAAAAAAAATGGAAAGAAACTTGTAAGAAATTTACTTAAGCATGTGCTAAAAATCATAACATGAGTGATAATGATGTTCTAAAATATTTTCCGGATTTTCTAGTCTTCTTGTTCAAAATCTGAATACTTGAGTTTCTAAAGCTGAAAAATTCATCTATTATAATGTACAAACAACTCGTAACTCATGTACTTAAAATGATTGAGCATCATTTGACTTCAACACTTAATAATGTGAACAATAATTAAATGATGGCATTATATTGCTCCGGCTTTTGTTTACTCAAATGTCTAATTTTTTTTAATACTTTTTTACTGAAAAATATTGCTCATATATGGTCTTGGAACATACTATGAAACCAAGAAAAATAAAATTTATGAAACCGAATTCGTACTTAAAATGAACTTTTACCGTCAAACCAAAAATTTTAAAAATTTCAGAATCTATCTAAATAATTTAAATAGACTTACGGACTTACTGTATATATTTATATGGGATCTGACAATCTATCCTCCTAAAAAATATTTTCGTCCTCGGAAATAAGGCAAAAACATAACTACAACTCAGAATTACCTCATCGAGAACTGAAAACTGGGATACTTGGCTATTATTTCTTCCTCTCTTTCCCAAGTGGGTTCTGCCTCACTATCACGGCTCCACTGTACTTTGATAAGTGCAACATCTCTATTTCTCACCCAATGAACCTTTCGATCCAGTACTGCTATTGGCTGCTCTTTATAAGTAAGGTTCTTCTCAACCTGTAGCACATCACTTTTCACTATATGTCCCGGGTCATGCACGTATTTCTTCAACACGATACATAAAATACATCATGCACACCCGAGAGATATGGAGGTAACGCCAAGCGGTAAGCTACTTCACCAATTCTTTCGAGTATCTCGAATGGGCCTATAAACCTGGGTTGTAGCTTCCCTTTCTTCCCAAATTGAACCGCTCATTTCATTTGTTTGACTTTCAAGAATACTTTATTGCCCTTCTCAAACTGTAAATCTCTTCTACTTTTGTCAACATAGGACTTCTGCCGGTCTTGAGCTGCTTTAATCTTCTCATGAATTTCAGCTACTTTTTCAATTGTTTCCTCGATCATCTTTGGACCGAGTACTCCTCTTTCGCTCATTTCATCCCAATAAAGTGGCGATCTACACTTCCTCCCATACAAAGCCTCATACAGTGCCAACTTGATACTTGCTTGATAACTGTTATTATAGGCAAACTCCACCAGTGGTAATAGTTCTTCCCATGTACTACCACGATCTAAAACACAAGCTCTTCACATATCTTCCAGAGTTTGAATCGTTCTTTCAGACTGTCCATTTGTCTGTGGATGATAAGCTGAACTGAACTTTAAACTTGTACCCATAGCTTCATTCAGACTCTCCCAGAACCTGGAAGTAAATCTGGGATCTCGATCTGATATTATCGCTATTGACACTCCATGGAATTTCACTACTCCATTTATATAAATTCTTACGAACTGCTCCATGGTCATTATCATCCTTACTGGCAAAAACCTGGCCATTTTTGTCAATTGATCCACAACTACCCAAACTGCATCATGATTCTCTTTCGATCTAGGTAATCCCGTGACAAAATCTATGGTAATATATTCCCACTTCCACTCGAGAATATCCAATGGTTGCAGCAAACCTGGTGGACGTTTATGCTCAGCTTTGACTTGTTGACAAACTAAGCATTTATCCACAAAATCTGCTATACTCCTCTTCATACCCCTCCACCAAACAACTTTTCAAGTCG